CAGCTCTTGCCATTGTTGTCTCCTGTCTGACAAAACGCTGACACACTACAGCACCAAATGTTTACACCCAGTCGCTCATCTTCTGTTCACTCTGTGGTGCCATCGGTACAGGTGGTAATGGTTGAATTACTGGTATGGCTGACAGGATCATAGCACGTTCGGGCACAGCATACCAAGACTTCGGATTTGTAAAATAGTTCGCCGCCTAACGGGTTGTCCTCTTTAAGCCTTCCTTGGCTGCGTTTCCAAATTTTCTCGCGTAGTTCAACACGGTACAAAGTGGATCTTTTTTTTTGTGATGCACAACTGAGTGATTATTCTCCACGTCTAGTGTCATACAACTTAACAGGTTAAGAGAGACATATCCGTATAATTTGGAGACTTGCTGGAGGTTTTCAAGGCCGTATTTAAGCATTTTAACAGACACAACAGTCTCAGATGCTACGTTACCGTATGGGCCATTGAGGGTTTTTGGTAATTGGCAACCCCGCCTCTGATAGAAGTTTCATTCCTGCGCAATAACTGAAGACTCCGCCTCGCTCTGCCAGGCATGCGGCCTTAAAGCATTCGTTAACTTCGAAAGTCACTTCCTTAGCAAACTAGACTGTCCATGGAGCTGAGCCACGTGGCTTTCTTCTCCGTTTTCGTAGGATGGATATGTTCCATGACATAACCGAACGTGACAACATACGAGCAGGCTGCGCGGGATGCAATCTGTAGACTCTTTCTCATAACCGTGATGTGTTAATGTCTCTCGACGAAAAAGGTTGCATCCTTTTTTGGTGCTTCTTTGTACATAGGTACTGTTGAGAGTCGAAGGGATAACTGTTTTGTCGCGTCCTTCAGTATTACGATTGTTTCGTTGGTTGTTTGATAAACTTTACACAGCATGGAATCGCGATGAGTGAGCATATTTTAAGAAACGATAAGATTTATATTAAACTCGATTTTGAGGCAACTTCCTCGTTAAAACAAAACCCAGAGACTATCCCAATGGTTTGTTTGGTCTGGCTCAGAAGTGAACGCTAACAGCCGAAAAGGTTTGTTCATTTTATTCCGAACACGGGTTTAACTCTGTTAATCATTACGACTTTCTATCTTTTACCCAAATAAAAGGCTGTGCCCAGGGTAACGCTTCAATTGTACTTCGAGGAGCTGACCAGAACCAGCAACGAATGTGGAATTCCCTCCTTAATCAGCCATACTATCTCTAGGTAAGGATCGCCTTCGCTTCTAAATCAATTTTATTATAGTAATACTGTACAGTAAGGCCTCTTACGTCGGCATTAGTACAAATAGAGAAGCAGGGGATACGCGACAAGGGTAAGAGACTATAAACTGACGAGTGGTAATCCGTAGATTGCAGGTCAGCGCTTTATTAAACGGTTCAGGTAATTATCGAAAAAGCTGAATACACTCTGATTTGTTAGCGAGGATTGCGTCATATTACCTGTTTGATTTTTTGATGAAGTGTGGCGTAGAGAGTAGATGGTTCAGCGTAGTGTTAGACCAAAATTGTGCAATTGTCTTCTATCTCAACTATCATGAACGCATTAGTTTCTACGTCGCATGGATTTTTGTCGCCATACCTATGGCAGCTTTAAGGCCTACTTATATGGAGGAAGAGGACCACAGGTAGGTGAGGTAACCCGCTTAGGCGGTTTTCCCGGTCTGCCGGGTAGGGTAACCCTGTTAGCCGGGGACGCGATTTGCCATCTAAACGTCTAAAGGTTGGGTAACCGCGTAGCCAGGGTCGCATTCATGATACATTTACAAGCGCGCTGAAAACCTCACCCCGGGATCCTAGGGTTGTAAGATTGTACATAAAAGCAGGCTATTTTTCGACCACGGCTTGGTGGCTTACCTCACCTACATGGGGTCCCCCACCTTCATGTAAACAAGCCCTTATTGTCTGTAATAGACAGCTGCTTGTACACAGTGCATTTAAGTGAATTATTTTCAGTCTTTTGTTTCTTAGCTTGTTTTTTCGAGCTAAAAGCTTTCTGAAAAAGTGAAAAATGCGCGGGGTAAAAACTTCATTCTGAGAAACAAAAGTCTTGATAGCGTTAACTTCTCATATGATTCTCATTCCCTGGTGCACGTTTCGTGCTTTCATATCGTCCTCATTCATTTGTTCCATATCATAAGCTGAACAAATAAATGACCTTCATGCAGGATGGTCCAGGGTTGTTATTGCCTTCGTAAATGTCAGTTAGGTCCTCCAAAAACCACACCTGATATTCCTGACCAGCGGCTACCACCAGTGGAGTGGTGAATTTTAGCATCAGTTCAGGGGAATTCTTTGAAAATCCAAAGAGCTGGTAAGCACGAGCTCTCTGATCTTCTGGGTAAACAACGTTTTTATCTTTATCTGTGAGAATGGTTCCGATGTTCGAATGACAACCCCAGTTCGCTTTTTGCCTAATCGCACAACCCACAGAACCAGAGATGTGAACAAGCCTTATAAAATAGATTTTACCGGCCAAATGTGTGAAGAATACTCCCGGTCTATCGCTTAATCCATACATGCAAACATTGTAAGGTAGTTCAACCAGCCATTTCTCTACGAGAAAGGAAAATAATGATGATAAGGACATATTACTACCTCATCAAACATGCACCTGTTCTGAGATGTCTTGCGATTATTCAAGTTCCCTTAGCTCAATTTGTCGCTTTAACGTAAGTGCCTCAGTAGCCGTTCAACCTTTGATGATATATTCTACTTTTTCTGATAGTCATGTCCATGGGAGAACATTTAAAGAACAACGTGTTGAACATCTCATAAACTAATTGCTGAAAAAAAGAAAGGACATCAAAATACAACACTGCGGCTTAAGCAGACCTCATTTAAACTCACCACAATATCTGCCAGAGTAATTTGGAAGACACTCACACCAGAAATGTTCGAGGTAATACAAAGCTCGACAGCTGCCGTTATTCTGGCAGGGGTTCGATAAACATGGAGTCTGTGAAGAAACATTTGAAGTTTTGTTGCGCTTTCTTTACCAAAATATTTGCTTTTGGTGTGGAAGTTTTTTTCTGATGTATTCAGTGTTTTGCTTCCTCTCATGTTGGAATTGAAATAATTCAATCGACCACGTATGGAACCACGCAAATTGTATAGCGAGGCTATACAACTATCACATGAAAATATTTCGCCACTGACCCGTTCGATCAGGTCAGAATACCTTATTCAAAATTGTTTTTTTGAAGTGGGTAATGTTATCTTACCGCAGCGATTGCCGAATCATGAAATTAAGGGAAGTCATTATCATTACTGTAATAAATAAAACTTATAAAAAAGCAAAATGGCGTATGCGATACCTTGGCACTGTAGTGATTAAAGTGTTGACTTGGTTTAAAGCTGTCAGAAGCGTTATACTTGTCTGTGGGAAGCAGCTCACAAACATAGTTACCATTGATATCAGGTTTAGCAGCAAGGTTTGTTGAGAAACATCGCTTATCTCTTAGACAATAAAGCAGACAAACTCTTCGATCCCTGACATGAATGGATTCAAGCTCAGGTACATCAAGAATGTGAAAAAGATGGTCGATAAAATGAGCGAAACGAAAACGTGAATCACGCTGAAGACTTCTGGAAGATGACGCCTCTTTATGGAGAGTTACTGTACATACCAACATAATGTGCGGGTGAGTTAACCACGTACTATACATTTTAAAAATTGAATGTGAGGTGGGACCGTTATTATTAATTCATAACTATTCGATATTTAGATCACCAACTCTATTTTGCACATAACTAAATTTGATATGGTAATTTCTAGAGCTTTCTGTCTCTGATGATTTATAAAACAAAGGATTACTTTATAATAGATGACACATACAACGCATGATTTATATATCCGAGTAATATATATAGCAAAGTTAGCCATGTATTACACATTTTGAATTTTGAATGTGAGTTAAGACTGTAACACCGTTATTATTAATTCATGACTGCTTGAAGTTTATTGTGGAAGTGTCTCTATTTTCTCAGTTACAATAGCATTGGATGAATTTCCAAAACTTTCTGTTTTTAATAATTGACAAAAATCGAACGGATAATGTCGAGGGAGGGAGGGAGGATGACCAATGCAACATTTATTCAGGACATTATTTAGCTTTCTCTAGCCCAGAAGGAAGGAGTGCCCAGGTGCTTTATAAGCAAGAAAAATCCGGCTCGAGTACTCCTCGGGCAAAGTAATTGAAAGGCCGGGTTTGTTTTTCTTTCATTCGCATTACTCTTCTTCGACTGAGTGCTTGAGAGTGTTTCAATATAAATAGAACTTCTTTAAAACAGTATTAAAAACATAGTCATGCTACGCATGCAACAGTTATTCTTATTCCTTCTTAAGAATGTGTGGGTTGGTTATAAACTGTTTATAATTTCTCGCAAAGTTATTTTCTTCATTAAAAATTAATTGAAAAATCCTTTCTTTTCCCTGTTATTTGCGAACTGTTTTCTTCTATTTGTTCAACTCCTGACACCCCTAACATTACTGCGTATTCTACATACTGTTCACCCTCCATCCCCTGTAGTGCTGAATAGGAGAGTTTGTTCAAGAATGGAGAACACTTCAAGTTGTGGATCACTTCCCTAATTCTCTTTAGCGTAAGATTTAATTCATGTATGGTACTAGGAGGAGAGATAAGACGCTAGTAACTCCTAGGTTTAAAAAGTTCTGTCTTAATTAATTTGTGGACTTGAAACATAATTTCCCTCTTATATATCTGGGACACCGCTGTACCTTTCTTTTTTAAGTGATTAGAATGCTCTTATATTTTGATTTTGTATCCCGACTCAAGAAGAAAGTTGGACCTCCGAAGTGAAAGTGGACGTTGAAAATGGCACTTAAGAGTCGAAATCTGAAAAAAGGAAGGTCGACCATGTAAGTCGAAGGTCAACATGTAGCAACTAATGAATGAAAGTCGTCAAAGGTTGGGAAAAAAAAAGCTCCGAACTCCGAAATCGAATGTTCGAAATCCGAAATCTGAAGTCAGAAATTGGAAGTGCGAAGCCGGAAGTCGAAATATGAAAAGTCGATAGACGCACTCCAAAATCGAATGTCCTAGATCCGAACTGCATGGCTGAAGTTGGAAATTAGAAATCCAAAGACAAAAGTCAGAAAATTAAAAGTCGACAGACGGAAATAAAACTCCAGACTCCGAAATTGAGTCGATACAAATGTCAAAGCATTAATTCAAGACTACCGTAAGGATTCTGTTTTCATCGATTGCTTTTTTCTCATGATAGGAATAACACTGGGACAGATAGATTGCTCTTAACCTTTGAAAACTAATAAAAGGTTTCGTAATTTTCCCAAAAAGTGCTATTTCATTGTGAAATGGTGAAATTAAAGTCGGCTCCTTCCAGAAGAAATTATTAACACAGGGAATCGGACAAAGCCGCGAGGGACTAAGTAATTTACCTGAGCCAGCGATATATATGAACACCGTTACGTTTCCATTGAGACACAACAAACATGGCGTCTGGCTTGGCGGAAATACTAAGTTAACAATTTAAGTGTGAATTTATCAACGTTGTGACTCCACAAAAGAAAAAGAGTAGCAACAGTAGATACAGAAAATGCCAATTGATGCACCAGTCAGACTTTCTTCAGAAAATGAAAATGGAAATGCAGAGGAAAAAAGCGATGTTCCCTCTCTACAAACTGCTCTTGTAAAATTTGTTGAACCACACTCAGAATCGGACGAAAACAATGGCGAAGAGCCTTCGCCTCTTAGCCGCGAGGTTACCAAAGAAATACGGAAGAGAAGGAAGACTATAGTTAATTCGTTTCGACTGGCAGAGCTAGTTCCAACTACGAACACTCCTCACTCAAATTACCGGAGAAAGTCGATTGTTGTGTTAACAACAGAAACTGTCATAGACGCCAAAGCTGAACAACAGTAAGTATACGTTCTGTTTTGAAATTTTAAATGTCTTCAGCGGTGAGAAGTGTTAAATTAAAGTGATATCAATTATAGATCTTAAAATCGATCATTTTGAGTCTGTTAAACGTAAAGGCATCCCACCATTTTGGAGTACTTAGTACTTTTATGACCACGTATGGCTGTAAACATTAAAACTTGATAGATTACCTTCCCTTTTTTTTACTACTTTCGTCTATATCTGAAGGAATTGTCCTATCTTTCCCTGGTACAAAAGTGGTTAGAAAACGTTTGTTTAATTTTTGGTGTGTAAAATTAAAGTTGACCACTGAGATCCTCTAAAAAAAGGGTTTACTGACTGTTATTTTCAAGACATGTACTTGTATTTAATTATTTTTATCTTTCTTACTTGGGTATTATTTCCTTGTAGATTATTTTAGAAGAGGTCTTTTTATATCTATAAGGCATTATGTCTGTCTATTTTTATCTCTTGTTAGTTTAATTTTGTATTTTTACTGGAGAGGATGTTTTCAATCCCTTTTGTTTAGCTACATGCAGGCGATACACATTTTTTTATTGTGACAGGTAATGATTTATCTCTTTTGCTCTTTTTATTGCAGTTTCACTGAAGGCCTAACATTTGCTGAATTAGAAGATCATAACCAAGCCATAACATCCTACAATAAAGCTATTTCTCTGAAGCCAGACATTGTGAAAAATTATATTGCAAGAGGGGAGAGTTACTTACAGATCTGTGACTTTCAGTCAGCAATTTTAAACTTTAAAAAAGCATGTATATTGGATCCAGATAATGATTTGACTTATTCTAGATTAGCATTCCTTTACTTTTTACAAGGACAATGTTTATTTGATGAAAAACTTTACAGTGAAGCACTGGAATCATTTTCTAGAGCAGCTGAGATGAAACCTGAGGTGATTGGTTATCACACAAGGAGGTGAGAGACTTAATCCTGGGTACTAATATACTTAATGATGATGATGTTATTCATTCATGACCATTGAAATTGTACTTTTTTTTTTTTTTAATTATTATTATTATTATTTTACAGTGTGGCTTGCTTGGCTGCTCTTCAAAGACATGGAGAATGTTTAGCACTTGTTAATAAACGACTTGAAGAAGAAACTGAGAACCCAGACCTTTTCATCATGAGAGCCAGACTTCATGAACTGTTCCGTAATGTGAGCAATTGTCTAAATCAAAGGCTTGAACTTGTGTCTTTAAAAATTCAAATGTTCTCCTTAAGAGAGAAATGTATTGTTTTCTAGTTCCTCAATCAGTCAAGTCATATCTCAGTGTGAACACAACCATAGAATCTTTATTGATGATTTTATTTACAGTTTTTAACTTTGTGAAGTGATTTTAGAACACATTACATACAATAACAGTTTTTTATTATGGGATTGATTCAATCTATAAAAATTTGATGTAAAATTTTAAACTGTTTGTGGTTAGAAACTTAGATTGTCATCCTTTTATCTGGTGGAGATTTTCTCTTTCTAACAAATGGTTTTACCATATTTTGTAGTCAACTCTTTGCTACTATGATGTCAAAGATGCACTTGCACTTGCTCCAGATAACACAGAAGCTAAAACTCTTATGGCATCACTTGAAAAGAGGGCAAAGGACAGCAGACAACAGGTCAGTATGGCTAATATCAACAGTAATGTGGCATCATTTAGTTTCAACTTGAAAGTGTTACAACTAGAAAAGTTTACCAATGGGATAAGAGAGATTGTTAATTTTGAACTTGGTGAAGAAATGGAGAAATATGTTTTTTGCCTTATCATGAGCAAGGGAAAATAAAAAATTCTGAGTTCCCATCAGGAATCAAACCTCAGACCCTCAGATTCTGCACTCCAATGCTCTACCACTGGGCCACAGAGACTCTATGTTGATCAAGTTTAGTTGTTCTCTCATGACCTTTTTTAATTTTATTATCAAATCTTCAATTTTACATGTAATTTTGATATTCTATTACTGAGTAGCTACTCTAATTATTGTTTGGTGCAAGAAAATTATTGGATCAATATATCAGATATTGGTACATGTATTCATTTCTTGGTTAACTTTTATAAGATTTCAACAAAATTTTGTCGCTGACTTAGAGATATTTTTTCTGGTCTGTAATAGGCCATACAGTTACATTTGGTTGGTAAGGTAAAAGAGGCCCTCTCCAAAATCTCCATTGCTATTGAAACTAATCCATCCATGGCAGAATTCCACGTCTTTCGGTAAGTGCACAATATAAAATTAGATGAAATTAGAGACACTTCACCAAGTCAATTAATTTAGCAGTACCACAATCAGTCAGCCAACAGTTCAGTGAATCACTCAGGGAGTCATTCAGTTGGTCCGAGTTACAATGTAGATGTTTTGATTACATTACTGTTAGGGTGGTACACCCTGTACTCTATGTTCAGTATGGAGCCCTCTCTTGATTTCCTTGTATTCCAAGATGACATGTGTGTATTTCTTTAGTGGCAGTCTTCATAGAAGGATGTCTGATTTCAATGCTGCTATAGATGATTATCTACTAGCCATGGATAAAACTGATCACGAGGAATCAAATGAGACATACAAGGAGGCACAGAGACAGTTACTTCTCTGTTATAATGACTTTGCTGTGGAATGCTTCAGGTAAGAAAAATAAGGGTCAGGGTTTGACAGAAAAATTTTTTTTTCCTGCCTGATTATGGTGCTTTTCACCATTGATGCAAGGCCCCTCTTTAGTGTTACAGCTGCCAAATAGAGAGATAAATTCATTTTCATTGTAAGAGTAGAATTATGTTTGAACCTAGATTGTGATTGAAATGGCAAAGTTTACAGTTTACTAAAAATTTTCTGGTAGCCAAGTAAAATGGTCGTCTAGATACCAGCATCCTCAATAAAACAGTCAATAAGGCAAGGCTACATGTATAAAAAGCCTTGAAAGCTCGCAAAAACTTTGATGCTCTGTAACAAAATTTGTTTAAACATCACATGTAGATCTGATATATCTTGAGTACATGTAAAAGCAAATTTTGTGGAGCTTTACTTGAAATTTCTGGTGCATTAATAATTAGTTAATTAATTAATTGACTTATGCATTTTATTTTGGTTTTTAGGAAAGAATTCTATGATGAAGCAGTTGTTCTTCTGAACAAAGCGATCAAAGGGGAGAAGAAAGAAAAAGGACTGTATATCAATAGAGGAGGTATGTAAACTTTACTTTACCTGACATGTACAAAATGTGTTATTTATTTAGCAGCAAATTTTCAATGTCCATTTTCCTTTATCTTCTCTTTAGATTGTTTCTTCCGGCTGAATGAGTTGCACTTTGCTCTTTCCGACTACCAGCAAGCACTGGAGATGGACAGCAGTGATTGGTCCGTGAGATGCCGACTGTCTATTGTTTATAATGAGTTTGGTATACTGGAGTATTACGACAGACATTATTTGGAGGCTATTGATCATCTTACCACGTGTATCCGCTACAACCCCCGCATTGGAGCTTACTACCTGTCACGCGCCAGGGCCCGGTACATGATCGAGGTATGGTACAAGACGAAATTCCTCAATTTCATGATGTATGAAAAGAAATCCGCCATGTAAACTCACAGGCTGGAATTACAGAACAGTAGCTTTGACACGTTACGGTGCACCTTCGCAATTAAACGCATTTAACTCGAATTTTCTCTTATCGCCATGAGTGAGTGTTGAATCCAAAGTCCAGCGTTGCAGGCGGAAATTTACTTCCGTCATTGTTACTAAGGGGTATGGTGAAAATTAAACGGGGGGCAGATGCCCAATTTAGATCACATTCAACCGCTGTTTGGGGGGGGGTGAGAATGACGCAGTTCATGGATGTGAATGCAGCACCAAGAGTAAACTGCGTTGGTGAATGAAGTTTTGGAATCGTGAGTGGATTAAAAAACTTACTATGAAGTGAAAAATCTGTAACTTATGTGGCTGCTTTCAATTTGTTGTTACTTTACTTCAAGTGACCTTTAAAGAAGTTTGAAACCGAAACAATCACTTTACCTCACCTTTATATCTGCCTTCTTTGCTCTGTGTGTTTCATGTAATAATTATGTTAATCCACGCCGATTAACATAACGAAAATAATCACATGTTTGTTTGTTTGTGTGTAGGATTTGGACGGAGCTCGGTATGATGTCCTTATTTCACTATCTTTGGATCCAGAAAACAAAGAGGTTGTCTCCATATTTTCGCGCCTTTTTCCTGGGAGATCAATCACTGACGTCATGAAGAGTCACATGGGAATAACAGCGGCGCGTCAGGCCGAGGCTTCCATCAGAGAAACAAACAGCTATCAAGAGCTGTCTCAGCATGCTACAGGTACGACACAGATGAACTAAATTAGAGTCTAGGTTGTAAGAGCGCTTTAGATCCACTAAACATTTCTCTCTCAGATTGAGGATTAAAATTGGGTACGTAAGCGGGCCTGATTTACATATCTTGCCGAGTAAGGAAATATTAAATAATAATTGTTTTTATATTAATGTTTATCTAATACGACAGGTGCGAAGAATTCAGAGACAGCTGCCAGATTTAGTGGCAAATCAATTCTCCCTCCAATTCGTGGCTCGGTATTCCCTGAAATGCGAGTTTGTATGGAGGAACAGGATTTCCACATCAATATTATAAAGGGGAAGAAAAAGGTAGATAAATTTTTATAACCACAAGTTGCATGCCAGCTAATGACAAATAGCAAAGACTGTTCATATAAATACTTCTTTTAAAATAAATTGTTGTAATTTGATTTTTTTTCTGTATGAACAGCGAAATTTTATGCGAACTATGCTGGTTTGAAATAATGGTGGCGAAGTTTTCGAATACACCGTGTCAGGAAATAATCAGTGATAGGAATATGTTTACTTCTTATGAGTAGAGAACTAAGGTATTTCAAACATGAGTGATAAAGGAACCTCTTGCAAGCTTTTGTTCGTGAGGATCCTTCTGACTACTGATTAAGAAGTATCGTTTTAATTTTGTTGTCCATCACTTCCAGGCTACGAAAATGGTACATAAGGCTCTTAGTACTCGCCAAGATCTGACATTCAGAGGTCCAAGAGTCCAGTCCACATTGGGTGGTTTAACAATCCCAACAGAAAGAAGTGTAGTGAAGTTCGATGGGCTGTCTGATAAGAGAACAAAAGATCAGAAGGCTTTGGCTTATCTTGCTTAATAACTTGGTCAAAGAGATTGAGGTGTCATGGAATAATGAACTAGAATAATCAAGACAACTATGGTTGAACTGTTTTATGACGGGAAATGGCGTTTGAGTCAGAAATATAGCTTTAAGCCGATATTTTTATAAAAAATAGTTTTTGTTTTTGGTCTTTGTGGATCAGTTCAGTATCTGAAAAATACCAAATAACCTTTCAAATGTCAATTTTCAAGAAGTTCAAATGTATATCATTGAGACACTATTTGTTATACCAAAATGTAATTATGTACATAGTTTGGAAAAAAGTTATTGATTAAGATATTGTAACGTATTTTTGTTTGAACAAATTTTTAAGGAAAACGGCTTGGCCTCTTTCCGGATGAGTTTCAGTGCCGCGATGAACCCAATAAAATGTGGTTCTAATGGAATACCCTAATATTTGAGACATTTAAATCTATTTTCGCGGTAACGGACCGTTATATGATTCTTCACCCAAGAATAGACGTACTTAAATTGTATGGGTAGAAAATGACATTTAGCGTAAATCCTTGAGTTAGCGCATCACTTCGAATTCAAATGAACGTCCCTTTTATCAGCCAAAATTTAATATTAGCTTTTCTTTCCCCTACTCATCACCTTTTCTTCCCCACACTGTAATCACAGAGACTGTGAAACACAAAGGATACATATGTGAAGTAATGGTCTCGTCCGACTTAGGGTATTAATACCGTACTTGTTTCAGGCGGTAAAAATGTAGAGTTTAAGTTATGTAAGTGACGGCGTTGTGTGTGTTTGAGGAATTGAATTTGGAATTGTTTGCATCATTTCCGCCTTTATTTTCATCGAGCACTCAAAACAACTATCAGCCATACAGGATGATGGAGTTTGGAAACAACCAGTTTGAGAATCATCTGTAACGCCATTGAAAGCCAACAATTGTTAACGGTTGTTCGAGGGGTGGATAACGCTATCCTGTGGATAAATCTGTATTCAGTGGATTACGCAGTGAATGGCGATTTACTTGTTGGAAAAGTTTATATGTCCTTCGAGTGACTTGGCCCTGCCTATTGTAAATTAATACACAGCTGAGTTTTTGTTTGCGCACAAGCGCTGCGTGACTAAACGCTGTCATATCCGATGAATAAAGGGGTAAGTTTCTAAAGAAACTGTGGTGCTGCGTCGGTGGGAGAGTATAGCAGGTAATTTAGTGTTAACAACTGGGTTGAAAACGTAAACTAGCCACCGTAAAGGGTAAAAAAGCTGACGTTTCGAGCGTTAGCCCTTCGTCAGAGCGATTAGAATCGGAATCGAATCGCTCTGACGAAGGGCTAACGCTCGAAACGTCAGCTTTTTGACCCTTTACGGTGGCTAATTTACGTTTTCAACCCAGTTGTTAACACTAAATTACCTGCTGTCATATCCGGCTCCCCGTTTGAAAGGTTACTGTTACTGAGATCGGTTAGTTCTCTGTATGCGGAATATGACAAGAGGCACAGTACTGACGCTGTTACCTTGCTTCTGGTGCGTTTTATTTTTTAACTTACAAAATTATATTTAGTTTGTGATCTTAACTATAAAAATAATTAGAGTGTCCTAACAGAGTGTCACTATCATAGCAAACCTATTAAGAAAAAGAAATTGTCTCTGAACAGTTTCCTGAGAAACACAGATTGTGTTGGATAAGTTTTGGATAGCTCTATCGGATTGTTTCATCATTGACACCAGATGCTGAAATTTCTTTTGAAAAGGCGAACCAAAATACCTATCACTAACAAAAATGGATGATTTAATGAACAATTGGCACTTAAAGATTAGCTTTACATAGCGCAGCTACGACATCCATGTAAATTTCAAACTAGTTGCTTAAGGTTAGGAAAGGTTTTGAAATGAAACCTTTACCAAGAATAGATATTTGAATTTAATAGTTTGTTTCTTTTATGTAAAATATGTTTTAAATTTCCATAGGTGACCAATTAAGGCACCCAAGTCATTATAAATAGTAAATTAATCGTCATCTAATAAAGCGACTCACAACTGCTATAGACAGAAATAAAGCTTATCGCAGTTCATAACAGTTTAGGTGATACAGCTTAGGTGAACGTAAGAATGTTCCCAATATATCATTTTTTCGAGTTTGCCATCACATTAATTCATTCTCTTGTAGAAAAGTCTCCACACCAACCAGCATAATGAAACTGACTGCAAACTGATGAGCCAGATAGCCAATGAATTCGAAAATGACAAAAAATTGTATACAACATCGAGATGCTCTCGTCCATATGTCATTGATTCAAACGTTTCTAAGTTAAGTAAAATTTCTTACCATTAGTTAAGAACTAGATTTCATAAAATTCAAATTGGTCCCCTTTCTTTGTATATTTCCCGTCGTGCCCAGCGGGTGTAACAACAGCTTCTGACTTACGTAATGAACGTAATCGGCGAGTTTTAGACTTGATATACTTCCTCGACAGCAGATTCTCTAGGCTTGTGGTTGATTGAAACCTTTCTTGGTCAATACTCGTGCTCGAAGATGCAAATACTCTGGCCTCAAATCGTCTATCTGCTTCAGGTGTCTCTGGAGTGATTTTTATTTCCGGAGCTTCCACGATGGAGTTACCGCGAGAATGATCAGCGGAATGAGTATTAGCATGGGAGTGCGAAGATTGTGCAGAATGATTAGACCTTATACTGGTCTCACTGAATCGTCTCTCGTCATTATACCCCATAGTTGAGACATGTGCAATGCTCGTTGTCATGGTGACAAGGCAGGAGTGTAATTTGTCCTTGTTACGATTTTTTCCGTATCCGTAGTAAGTTCCTTCTGAGTCGTAAATGCTTCTGACGAGCAGCACACCTACCACTGATAACATAATAGCAGAGCACGTGAGTGGAATGCCGATCAGGATCCCAAGCTCTGTAGCTCTGGAGTAAGGCAGATTCTCTTTGCTACCTATAGGCAAAAAAAAAAAAGAAGAAAAAATTATAAATATTTTAAGTTATGTTATTAAAAGGAGAACTTTTGAAAAAAATGAGTTACTCACCTTTCTTACAGATAGACGGAAGTCGTTGGACACATGAAGCATCTTCCCACCATCCCTTATGAATCATTTGCACGCATGCGCCGTTCTTATCGGGCTCTCCAGGTGCCCAGTTATTAAAAGTAATTGGTGTTTTATCAATCCAATGGAGTTCTGAATCAGAAGATAGCCTTTCCATCCCCAGCCATATTTTAATTTTACCAGGTGGACCTAAAAACTTCTTAATTAAATCAAAAATCTTATCATTTTCTTCTTTGTTTGCAATTGATAGCAAATGAGCAGAGTTCATCTCACAGAATCTTTCAGCGTGATTAAACTGTCTCAGTTCTTTAACAATTCTGTAACATAAATCTCCCTCGTGAATCCAATCTTCATCACAAGTTCCTGCCAAGATAAACAAAGAACAACTGTCTATTAAACTGTTTACTAAATCCTGGGTCGATGATGGTTTTTGTCCTTCACCCGCACCACTCCCTCCCCCCCCAAAAAAAAAACCTCATGGACGGTCTATTTTAATAGCCTGAGGGACTGGCGAGGGCAGTTAGGAGGGTAAGTTGTGCCAAGATTAAAATCTAATCACTACTCACAGATTTTTTTAATTTTGCACAGCAAAGAATGCCCTGAAGGCCCATTCACCCTGGTTCCTGTGTCAGTTAATTTAATTAAAAAGTTAGTGACGTTGGGACAACAAACGCCAAACAAAAAATATGGGAGTAAAGAAAATTAGTCTCAAATTCTGCTCCAGACTGGCTGTCCGCGCCTTAGGCGTCGTGAATTTAAGATTTTGAATTATACCTGCATTTATTCTTTCTTCAACCCCAAACAAATTTAGTGTTTGAAATGTTTCATGCCTAACTGTTGGCGAGTAAGCAAACGTAAAGGGCAAGAATAAATAACTGAATGATAAATCAATAGGCGAGTAGACTAATGAACGAAGACGTGACATTTAAAGACTTCTACGTAAATACGTTTCGTCAGGAATAAGTGAAGAAACAATAAAAAACATATAAGACTTGCTTGGCGTAGATGTGGTGCATTAAGCAATATTTGGCCCCAAAACTTATTGATAAGAGGGTAACCTTACCTTGTGAATACTCTAAGTTTGTTTCTGTGACAGCTGCCGTTTGTGAATTCAATTGATTTTTCCCTTGAGATGTTTCACTTGAGAGAGAATTGTTAGCTGGCGGCGAGGGTTTGATTATGTGCGCACTTGATGAAAGCGTATATGACGGCGTTGGTGAAAGAGTTGCTTGGGCATTTTCCCACTGAAGAATCGCTGTTGTTATGACTTGTAATTCCAAAGAAATAATGTTCTTTTTTAGTAATACATTAACGAAGAATATAAGCAAAAGATTCAGTAGTACGTTCTCCAAGTGAAGACGAGATGCAAACTTTGCTCCGTTCAAAATTGTTCTTGATCCATCCATAAGTAAACCCGCAATTAGTCGAGATCCTGGAAGGAACTCGAAAATGTCAAAACCTTAGAAAAGAAGAAGAAAAAATAATCAAGACCAGGCTGCTCCATACATCCTCAGATTGTACTCATAGCAGAAAAGAAAAATTCTAATTCACCATGTTGGAACTTTAAGCGCAGAAAATCCCATTCTTTAAATTTATTCATATACTAAAAAGTGCGATTTTCATCAGACGGGCGCATTTCCTGACTACTTTTGCGGTTTTCTTTTCCAAAGATAATCATGAAAACGATAGCAAGGCGGGTTAAGGATATACACCCCAGCAAGAAACATATGGAGAGATTATGACGATATTTATCTTAGAGCTTCTCACTTATATGCATTTTACGTCTTATTAAGTTGTTGTCGCTTTTCTATCACTAGAAAAGATCCTGTTTAGTTCTGCTTCCTTTTGTTTTGTTTTCCTTTTTATATTTTATCATGTTTAGCCTTTGTAATTTTAACCAGAAAATTGATTTTTTTTTCACAGCTTAAATGGAAGTAAGTTTCCAGAAGTTTCTATATGTTTATTCAACAACGGTATAACATCTGTCTGTCAATAACATTTCTCTTACATCACACAGTTGAAGTTACTTCCTGATAAATGAACCTGAAAGACGCATTGTGTCTATCAAGCCCTTTGATCCGCGTCAGTAAGAAACACGTTCACTTTGTCACCTGTGCTATCGTGCTCAGAGGCCATTGGTTATTTAAACCTAACGCTCCATCTCACGACAAATCCCAGTGGAATACCATCCCAACATCAACTGTTTTGTTATTATAATGGCTTTTACTTCACCTCTGTTCTGAGCTCGCATGATTACTCAGACTGCCATTTGATATTCACCGTTGCGTGACTCTTGTTATTTTATTCACGCAATGAAAAATTCGTGGTTTCCTGACTGTCCGAAGTTCAGGCTAGCATGCTATTATACTTTATATCACGGTCTGTATGTATCTTGTTTATCAGAAAAGATTCATTCCGCCACCGTCGGATTCTCAAGTCGTCCTTTCGGACTTGATCAGCGAAGGTGAAAAACGAAATGAAGACCTCCAAGATTTACTGGCAATAGGGTAAACTGCTCTGTCCGTGAGCTGAAATAATCAGCTTGATTGAGTTGATACATGTGTTACTTATTCTTTATGCTAATTTTTTCTTGGAAGGCAAGTTTAAAAGATGTTATCTAGTACCTCTTCAAACGAATTTGTTAGTCAGGAATTCGTTGGCAAGTTATGAATAATTTAAGGAATATGGCAAAAATGTTTGACTGACTCCACTGGCTGAACGTATCATGAAGGACGGATCACTTACTTTGTATACTCAGCGAAAACATCATGTCAAAACCTCTACGTACAAGATTAATTTTTCTGATGAAAAGCAAAGAGAAAAGTATCACCAACATGGGCATTACTCGCCGCCTAACTGGACTGTGTGCATTGTTCGTACCTGTTTTTGTGTAATCCTCGAGCAGTTGATCAAATGTCTCGTGATTTTGTTGACACTGCTCATGAACTTTGTCTCCACCTTGGCATTTCTCTATTGCAAAGCAACATCTAGAAAGAAGCGGAGGTAACTACTCAATAAATAAATGATAAGGCCCTTTTAACTTTAGTCATCATGTTCTAAGAAGGTGCCCAAAACTCTCGTTTTATAACTCGCGTTACCTTGATATTTTTTCTGCGTAAATTGAGAAAAAAAGTTACGAAGTAACTGACGACAGCTTCTGACCTTCACTAAGAAGAAATATTTTTGTTTGACTCTTTTTTCCGGGCAATTGTTATTCTTGCTATAAAAAAATATATGCTATAAATGATCATCTCTGTCGCAGACAAAACATCGCCCCCAAATCTTAACTGTGAGATGCATGTAGAGGTCTTGGTTTCCGCTCTGGCGTTCGTATTTTGAATATTTTCATTAACAGCCGTTTTTCGGACAGCGTCGTGCAGACAGCGTGGGTGTTGAAAAGTGAATCTTCTGAAGTGATTCAAAACTAATCATGCAACTCCAGTACTTTCTACTGAAAGTTTCCATTCGTCCCTAAAAAGGTCACAAAATTGTACATCTAAAGTAACTTGCTGCCATCTTAAAACTAGCTGAAAGACGCAAAGCAGAAAGTTTCTTATAGCTTCTTAGTACAGTCTTCATGAAATAAAAAAGGCGAATCATGCGCTTAGCCGTTCGCCGAGATCACGCGACTTTGTTTACCATCCTGTTGGTCATCTATTTCCTCAATCGCCGTATCTTTTTATCATATATGTTCGGTTATGCCCAGCAGTCGAAAACTTTTCACAGAATCTCCACTGAAAAACTATTTCAACTTCGAAAGAGTATCAGATGGTGTTTGGAAATTTTTATCAACTCCACAAATTAAAATACATCCCTATCTCTTCATGCCGTATGTTTATCCATGCTATAAGCTCATTAATTCGAATTTCGCTTTTCCGTATTTTCTTTTTAATTTTTTCTATGACGAAGTTACTGGTATTAGGTGTATCAATTAGAAATGAATAAAGGATGGCTTCTTCTTAAAATGCATAATCCAGCTAAAAGGTTATGAAAACAGACAGATTAATCAGCTAGACTATGGGCGTTATCGTAATTTAGAAAAATTTATTTAACTATCAAATTTACGTAAAACTGTACATCACGTACAGGAGAGAATTGCTAATTGCTAAATTGTGGATCACAATGAATTTTTTCACTTCCTATTGAAATCGAAACAAATTAATAAATGTCTCGTGCAATTTAGTTAAACTGTTTCTCGCTTTCGCTCCGCATTTCAGTTTGAGGGCAAATACTTTTGGCCACAGATGAAACAAACCTCGTGTCCATATGGCTGATGTCACTGCTCACCACTAGTGCTTGTCGCTGATTGGTTGGATATAGGTTAATAGTCATTACCGAGCCCCTTTCATAAAAGTGCCATGACATTATTTCTACCAGTGACCCTAACATGACGATAACAGAGACACAGCTACGCATGGCTCCATGAATCCGTCACAGTAATACAACATGAAGGACCTGAAGGAGATTTTTGACAGGTCTAAATAAATTGCCATGGTACAATGTAAATTTAAAGGTTTAAAAGCACCTCAAAGACTGTGCACAATATTCAAGATGGGATCATGAAAAATAATTAAGATCAGTCAGAAATACAAACACATTTAAAACAAATAAACGAGTAAGTAATACGAGTGTTACTAAATAAACAAATGAATAAATTTATTCATAGAAACATTCATACAAAGATGAAAAATAACCAAATCGAGAAAAGAATCAATTAATCAGTGAAACAACAAACGAACCAAAACCGAAAGAACGAACTAACAAAGGAGCGAAAGAAGGAACGGCTAGCGAACGAAAGTACAAAGAACGAACAACTGACAAACGAAAGAACGAACAAACAAACCGCTTACGAACGAAAGAACGAACAGACGAACCACTGGCGAACGAAAGAACAAACGAGCAAGATAAGGAATAAATATTAAGGCTGTTAAGACTGATCAAGTAGCGTTTATTTAGCCTTGGGCTTTAACTTTTCAACAAGCCAATATAAGCCACATTACGCTTGTTACACAAATAACTTCCGTTGGTAATATTTCCATCTATTCGGATATTGATCTGCATTTACACCTCTTAATTAAAAGAAAACTTAAAATATAAGAGGAGTAATATGAAAATAAGAACAGCAGGATGGGAACAGCTTGTAAATAAAACCAACCATCAAAATAAAAGATAAAAATTGTGAAAAAAAATACTAAAGAATATCTTGTAAACACTATGTTGTCACTTGTTTTCCTTGCCCTAGCCATAAAATTAGACTACAATTGTTTTCAATTCTTACTTCTTATTAATAATCATTTTTTTTAAATTTATTTTTCAATTTGTCTCACTTTATGCAGTTTACAGTTCGTTATCGATATCAAAAGGCATCTAACTCTTTATTTTGTTTAAACTCCGAAATTTCAAATTTTATCCTTTGGTATATGTACGAACACCACAAACCAATGAGTTCTGAAGAAGAAAGAATTTGAACGAATTCATGGTAAATTTATCACCTTTTCCGGAACAACGTAATGCTAATTTTGTTTCCCAAACTGATGAAGGGAAAGGAAATCCATTCAATATTTATGAAGTTTAGCTTTTGGCGGCGTTAAATATTCAAGAGATGAAAAGGCAGTGCTAGAGACCTCAAGGAAAGGATTCATTTTAGACAATGATATAAACATGGACGAGTTATCTTAAGACTGAATTCGGTTGGATTCTTCCTTGTAGTCCTTGTGGCAATGATGATCCATAAAACGAATCTATTAGTCGGCTAAATTATTTACCAAAAGGAATCTGCATAAAGGGACTCACAACCTCCGCGGCTGAAGAGTAATTTCCAATACTTTTTGGCCTGATTACCTTAATCTCACACGGCTCTAAGGTCAAGAAAATATAGGTCGGACACAGTGTGAATGGTAAAGTTAAGTAGCTCACAACGAAGTCGAGAATCAAGGCAAGTTTGCTGAATTATTGAAGTACGCTTAGTGTGTAGTGTAAGAAGAATATTATGTCAAATGCTATATATATTTGTTAAGTATAGCTGATTAAAAACGGTGTTTACGGTCAATTTCGGCCCGCTTCTGCTACGTTAACTCTTTCATTGACTAAAACTGGACCGGAAAGTATTTACGTGTGAACTCACAAGAATAGGTTCAGAACATTATTAACCAAATATTGCATACCTTACATATCTAAAACGCAGGATTCCTAACCAATACGACACTGCAATTTACAGCTGTAACCAAGAAAGATTTATAATGAAAAACGTTCAGAACGTTAAGTCGACTTATCCAAAATGAGACCATAACCCATAAATTATGTGTAAGTTTTAATCTAAGCCGCAGTGGCTGAGGTATTGTCTATTGTCTTAGTAACTATTAATATTTACATAAGAATGATGATCTGGAATAAGTTAGGACAAAAAATGGTAAGCCATTATGCTCTTAACTAAAAGGATTAAAGGTTATTTTTAGGAATGTTAGCGGTAAAAGCTGTTTGTTTTTCTGATAAGAATCTCGAAAATTGTGTAGAAAAAAAAAATCGATGCGTGCTCAAGTAAAGTCTCTTTTCTATTCACATTTAGAAGACACCTGCTTGTCGCAGCTTTCAAGATGTCTTGTCCTGTCGCTGTAGGAAGCCACATGTTTTTGTAATATGGTGTAAACCGCATTTCATATCTGCAGTTAACAAGCATATACAAGTTATACACTTTGGTTAAGGCTATATCTTTGAGACCAAAACACAAAATGTTGATTAGCTGCAAAAATAATGTTAAATCTTTAGATTTTGTAAGCGGCTGTGGTGGTTTTCGGCAAACACTATGAAATCGTGGTCTAATTTCATTCCGAACGGTCTGTTGTGTATGGTAACCCAAACGTCCTTAATTTCCCTTTTGGTAGTTTGTGACAGTTTTAACTCAGCATCAAGTTATCAGCCGAATCCGTGCACATGGCGCTACAGAATAATGTTCTTAATCTTCTAGGATTGTAAGAATTAAAAAACAATTTTCATCGAGAAGTCGTGACGATCCCGTTCTTTATAGAGATTCATCACAGGGGTGTTTCTTTACTAATCAAGTCATGTAACATATTTTCGATCCTGCTTCAATAGTTCAGCGTTCTCTAAGAACTTACAAAAGTTGCATTCTGCTGATTTCAGGATATTTACATTAAGAGAAGCGCTGGTAACTTGGGGGCCAACTCAGTAATTGAACGCCCAGATCAATATCTGAGGTATAGAATCCTTGACAATGTTTTTTTTTTCTGAAACTGTCATTCAACATGTACTTTTTATCCCTATTTACACCTAACTAACAAGCAAACCTTCTTGTTCCTCATTGTTCATTTAAAAGCTGTACATCCCTATTATTGTAAATTAATTGCGCCGAGGCTTCATCCAGTGAAAAGCCGGCGATGTGGGAGGTCTAAAGGCCGATTGCAGCGTGGTTCAAAACCATAATACATTGTTTTGTCTCTAAGACACTAGTTTGCATTCAAATTTTTAATTACATTAATTGAATTAAAAATTCTGTATGTCGTGCCTGTTTTTTGGATAGGCTTATGTTTTAAAACCTAAACTATTAATTAATTGACATGACTATTAACAGCTAATAGAGGCAGTTCTAAGCTGTTGATTGCTGTTTAAATCAATGCCAGTGGAAGGCATTTGAAGTCCTGATGAACATATCTTGTAAAATATCAATTATTACCAGGGTTGTTGCCCGTCTTTGAGCCTTAGAAATAATCGCTTTGTATAACTGATAAAATCTAAACAAGTGGCATATGATCTTGAGCCATGATAGTAAATTACGAAGCTTATGTTTTAAGTAATTAAATAAAGTGCTTGCTATCTATTTGCACAAAGCAATCAGTGCAAATTTTCAAATGTATCGTTACGCTAAAATTCGAGAGAAAACCGCGCATGCGTGGCTATGAACAGAGTCCAGTACTGTAACTTCTACATGGAAACACAAACTGTTTTTCCAAATTCAAGGGCAGACCTTTCTTAGCCAATACAATAAAATAAACTTATTAAACAAAATAAATAAAGACCGAGCATTAATCATATGAAATACGAAAGAATTCATCACAATGAATTAATTAACAGAACATTAACAAGCAGGAGTTAGGAAAACTGACGACAACAAGCACCAAGTAACACGATTAACATTGTTTGGAGTATAGTTCATATGGGCTGACAATTTTCGTGACTGGGACCGCTTTGCCCTGATTGAGTCAGCGAAAGAATCGAACCATTGCTAAGCCGTATTCCGCTTTGAGTATTAAAACACCGGGATACAACTCCATCACACAACACCAAATGTATTTTAACGCAAAAGGCTCAGTCTCAAGCATTTATCAATTGTTTTTCTCGACGAGATATCGGTCTGCATCCCACAGAGATTAATCTTTAGTTCTCTGTGCATTCATTTTCTGGAGTTGCTCAAACATGACGAAACAATTTAAACAAATTAAATCGTATTTCAAGGGTTAAATGGCTCATTTACAACTTGAAACCCACACGGAGAAAAAGTTACGGAATCTTATGGGTTAAAATGTTGGCTTTTTTTCAGGAGATATTCATAGAATGATTATAAAATAAAAGAAAATGGTGAAATTATTTAATGGAATTCATTTGGCTTCCGAGTAATTCAACTCACCTAAGAGCGCTAGCTCGACAAAACACTCAGCCCACATTCCTACGAAGATCACTCGCATTCATTTAAGATGCAAATTGTTATGGAAACGTTTGCAAGCTAGCGGCGAAATCGTATTTCTTGTTTTCTTGGTTTACTTTTAACGATATTGGACGGGTAATTTATCATTGAATGAGATCTGTTAGAGTATGTACAGCGATCCTTGCCAACTTGACAACTCTAACTAGGAACATTTTCAAGGGGAACAAACACACATGATGCTTGACCAAACTGACTGCGCTCACCCACTGTTTACAAGCAAATAGATTTCTTCTACGTCTCATGGAAAATAAAAATCCCTTTTTACGAAAATGACAAGAAATGCACAAGTTGAAAAAGGCCAGTTGAAACAACGGCATTCGTATAAACCTCAGATTGCGCATTTCTACCGGGGAAAAGAATTTGGTTGTTGCCACTCTAAAATATTGCTGTGACGTAGAAATCATAAATACTTGCTCAATGACAACGAAATGAGGAAGGAAAACAGTCAAAAGCCACAGAACAAGCTCGTTTAAGCTAATCTTCCCTCGCTTTCTTTGCCGGTAAATGACAAGTACACTCTCATCAAATCGATGTTCAAAGCTTTTAATCACAACTGGATACTAAAACGTGTGATTGGAGCAAGTTGTGTACGACTGTGTTTGTCTCCGAGAGACCTGAGATTGTCACATAAAGCGAATATAATTAATCACCGAGTAAACACGAATGAAAGCTGCCATATGAACATCGCTTTAGCTTCTGAAAACACACACCGTGCCGCTCACTTCATGACACTCAGTTTTCAATTTTTATCTACTTGAGCTTTGACTTCGTTCAGTCAGACTCTAAGAGTAAGATTCACTAGACTAAAGAATCTTGAGGA